ACTGCATATTTAGGAGAGCGGCAGCGCTTTTCAGAGAAACGCTGCTTTGGTTCGGATTGTTTCTTACCCGGAGCTCCATCTTGTGCCACGGCTGCTTCTTAGGATTGATGCTGTAAATTTTTTTCTGTTTGGCCATCTCCACGTAAGCTTCATGGCCCTGTCTGAAGTAGTACACCTGCACACACACACACACACATATGCAAAAGAATTAACGGCATTAACTGAACTTGTAAATTCCTTCGGTGCGTGTTTGCAATGTAATTACAACTACATGGCATAACTGCTCGAGATGTGCCCTTTTGTTTCCATGGGTGTAATGACCGTTAATGCCACATGAGGTCTCCGACTTGTGATGCAGACTTTAGTCCTTGTTGCCATGTAAAACATGACCCTGTGTTTTGGTGTGAGCAGACATGTGGTGAAGATGCGGTCGGCGTGTACCTCGTCGCCCATCTGGGGTATGTAAGGACATCTCCGGGGGACCGTGTCCGTGATCCAGGCAGAGGGAAGCCATTCCTCCAGAGTTAGCCCTTGCTCCTGAAACTGCGTCCTCTGCAAGACGCACAGCAGAATAAATATGACACATACAGTGCTTATAATCCGGCGTGAAGCAAAAGACCTGACTGAATTAAGTTTGTTCATTCGTCAGCTTCAAATAACTTAGGAGAAGGAAAACGCTCATTACTGATAACAAACCTTCCTCTTCTCCTTTGGCTTCTTCTTCTTTGGTAATGCGCCATCTTTATCAGCTTTGTCTTTCTTCCTTTCCTTCTTCCCCTCCCTCTTCTTCTCCCCATCCTCCTCTGAGCCGCTGCTTTTCTTCTTCACTTTAACGCTCTTCTTGGGCGGTTCAAGGTTGATCCCGGCGTCGGCTGTCCAGTCCGAATAATCGCTGGAGTAATCGCTGCAAATACATCACAGGGCCGAGATTAAACACATAGATGTGCGGCGTCTGCTCGTGCCGCGTTCTGATTTGCATTTAGTGCGCGAACACATCGTCGGGAGATGAGTGACGTGATAAATTGGAGATACGCTCGGTGCTTCTTACCTCGAACTACTATGCTCATCTGGCCAGGGCTCCTTCTCCTCTTCATCCTTCTCCTCCTCTGAGGAGTGCCCGTTGATTTGCCGTACCTCCACCTCTCCCTGAAAACACATAAAAAATTAAATTAGGACACAAAAGCAAATGGACAAAAAAAGACAAAGAATGACAAAAATCATTATAATATAATCCTCAAATCATTATAATCCTCAGAACATCAAAACTTAAAACTATTCACTAAATCCGTAACAATGCAGTATGAATATGTACCTCTGAGGTGCTATCATCCTCATCTGCAGCCTCAGCACTCTGCCGACTTGTCTCTTCCATGGCAGCGCGGGTTTGATAGCCGTGGTTACCTTGGCTCCTCCTCGCTTCGTCTACCACACACTCTGATGTCGGATGAACCTGGAAAAGCAAAGAACGGAGCTGAGTGTAACCAAAGTCCTGCGTTTGAGACATTTCTGGTTAAGAAATTCAAAATTAAAAGAAAAAATCATCATCGAACAGCTATGCTCATGAACTCACCCTGCTCTCCTTGGGGAGAGAGTGGAGAGTACGTCTTCTCCTTTCTGACTGATAAATATTGATCTCTTCCTCTCCTTTAGCTTCACGCCAGTTCACCTGTCTCCTGCACACACACAGATCACGAGGTTCGTCATATTTAGGAGATCCTGTGCCCCAGAGAATGTGAGAACGTGTTTGTGTACATATCTGTTTCAGCAGTTACCTGACAGAGGCTTCTTCGAGCTCAGGGACCAGCACCCTGCGGCTCCAGGCTACCAGATCTCCCTCTGTGGCCATTTGGCTGCGAGGGGCGTTGCTGTGCATCTGGCGGACTCCCTCGATCTGCCC